TTAATAAAGAGTTTAAAATTAAAATTAAGTTAAAATGTTAAGTTAATTATTCGTTAATTTATTTCAGAACTAAATTTTAATTGAATAAGTTACTTTTTCAGAATATATAAGGTGTTAACCTTATATAGAAGTAATAAAAATATGTTTAATTCTTATATAAACCAATTAACCTTACAATTGTGTTTTACTTCATTGAACCTTGATAAATTATCAGTAATTAAATATAAACAATTCAATTAACTTAGGATGGAACATGGTTGTATATTTATATGAATTATGTAATTATAGTATCTATACAATTATAATAAAATATCTATTGAATATTTCTGTGGAAAAAAAATTAGTATAATCGTTTGTATATTAGTTGCTGATTAAATAACTGAAATGAAAAAAATGATTTGGATATTTACTTAAGGTTTATTAATTAATGTATTTAATGAAAAATTTTTATAAAACTTTTAGTGGGATTAAATAAATACATTTATTAAGGATATATATATATATATATATATGTATATTTATTTATTTATTTGTGTAAAATATGTTTACTATGTATTGAAGATATTACATTAATAATAAAATTCTAATTGTACTTATAAAAATATTACAGTTCATCATATTTTCTAAACTTATAAAGGGTTTTAAAAAAGTACAGGTTGTTTCAACTTTAGCTACTTCTTTTATGATTGGAGAAAGAGATAATCAGTGCTCTACCATCAAAATGTAGGCTAAAAAAAAATATTTAAATTGATATAATTTATAGAAATGTTAATTAAGTTATCGATGGAAAATGATTTTTTTTTTTTAATTAATTTAACTTTTTTATCCATTAATTTTTTATATAACAAAGTTAAAAAATATATTATTTAACTTTCAACTTAAGTTAACGAGTTAAAAAATCTTTAACTGGCCCAAACTTGACAAAATTCAAATAATGTTTTGCTGTACAGCAGTTTAGAAAAAGGTAGTAGTTGTGTGTGATTGACTGTGAAGTAAATAAAAATAAATATTTGTTAAAATAAATAAAAATGCAATGGACTACGTAAAAAAAATGATGATAAAGTAGGTACGTACAATAATCAATAATATCGTATACAAAAAGGCTCTACTTGACCGAAAGATATTAAGCCCGTTTTAATCCGTTCCGTAGTCCGATGCGACCGCGGTGACGATCAGTGATTTCTTCACGAAAAATGCCATATCTGCAGATTTCTGCTGTCAGTGTGTATAAATTTTGTTCTGCGGTTCATCGATTTGGATAAAATCAAAATGTGTTGCTCCGGTTATGTATATAATCGATGATATTTGTTCCAAATAATTACACCACGCTCATAAGTAGTATTTTTTTCAAGAGCTGAGTGATTTTTTTGTCCACTACTGCGGTTGCTACAAACGTCACAAATGTCACAATATTACACATGTCAACTGTGCCCATGTTTTTGACTAGGACTAATAGATTAGAAACATGTAAAAAAATAACCTCCAATTTATAAACATAGTTTCGATTGATATAATTTCATAATATAATTTATATTAAAATTATAAAGTAATCATGTTTTCAAGCGGAAAACGTTTGTAATTATGTCACAAATTATTTTATTAACTGGGTGTATGCGTATTCGGTTGTCTTAAATTGTATTGTTCCGGTTACTGATGGTTGTTGTAAGTTACTTAACTATTCGTGATTGTTGTTTAAATTATATCCTATTATACGTTATACTTATCATGATCACTTTACGTTTTTAGGAACGCTATGCATATTTTCACTACATTCAAGCCATTTATTCTTACTTTGACGCAAAGGACAGTTAATTTTACGAAGTATGAAATTATTTTTAAAGAATTTCCATGCTATGATGTATAAAATGTTCGGATATCGTGGCCATTATTCGCTGGTTATTAAATTGATTTAGTTCACGAAATGCAGACAGAAACAGTAATATATTGATTTTAATATCACGTATCAGTGATTCAATAACGTGTTGGTGTTTTTACAAATACACCATGGTCTTAGACAAAAATATTATTTCTGTAATATTGATTCAGAAATTGACTGAAATTTAAAAGATATTATTTGTAAAGAGTTTAAAATCATTATATTTTAAATTCATGATAAGCACAGAAGAGAACAGTTTACTAATTTTCAATAAGATTATAATCAGATGCTGTTTTTCCGGAAGCCTCCATTAGCAATAGTATCCAGAATGCATGTGGGCAATAGCAATAAATTATGTATAGTCGAGCGTATGAATCTTCAAAATATCGTAACTCTTTGATCGTCATTTGGTAATTACAAGTACACAGTACGTGCGAAAAAAAACCAAGAGAAAAACGCTCTTGCATTAGCGATGGCAAGTATCGCATTAAACGGAAATAATTGAAATATATTGATGACTACGAAACGATTAACGTCAGACAAAGGTTTCGTAGAATAAATAGTTCAGAATAATAAAAATAAAAAAAATAAAAATACTTATATGCTATAACGAATAATGGTTATAGAACATTTGTAAGTCTTAAACAAAAAGATCAACATAAATAATTTTCTATTTTTCAATATATTGCTAAAATTGAATCATAATAATATTATGAAATAATTTAAATTTATTTAATATCTATCCAATACTTCGTAGTTAAATAATTTAAATATGTAATACAACAGTAATGAGTTAATACATTTATGCAGGACTTGAATCTAATAAGCATATAGAAAAACCTCGGAATTGAATGAATTAATGCACTGCATTCCTTGGACATCGTTAAAGCTGGTAACAGTCCAATTTCTATGCAAATAAAATCTTAAAATACCGTATTATTGAGGTTATTGATCATTACACATATAACGTCAGTCTCAGTCCTTTTAAGTCTGAACACTAAAAAAAACACATTTTATGTTAAAAACTGATGAAGTATATAATTATTATAAAGCTCTGACTTGTAGCGATGAGATAGTGACCTATGCAGACGATCCTCGTATTTAATATTAATTTTTTTTTTTTTTTCAATCGTTCAACACTAAAACAAATCAATATCCACTATGTGAAATTTATGAAATAAATTTGTTATTTTACATTTATTTAGTCATTATAAACAGTTAGATTGACTAAATAAAATAATGATCATATATCTTGCACTTGAAATGTTTATTTCACTTCAATAATATACAAATAAAAAATAATGTAATGTCAACTTATTAAGTGTCGCATTTTAATTTCTATAAAATATTCACCGTATTATAACGCACATTATAAAACCATGTATTTCCTATTATTTTTAAATAATAAATCACATTATTTTTTACTACAATACCAACTTGAATGTAACAGATTACCACATTGAGATCCAGTAAAGTTATGAAAGAAATTCGTTTTAAATTACGCTTTGCGAACATTTTGCTATAATGATCACGTTAAATAGTTCCCGTTGTATCTTATGAGCACCAACACGGGACAGGTCCTTTTATTTTAGAGAAAATATGTTACCAGAAAATTAACCTCCTTATAGCTATTTCTACTCAATTGTTTGTTCGGAATGAAAACTAAAATCGAAGATCATACCAATAGTTTTTCGGATACGTTAAATAAAAAAGGTCTAAACTCATATTACTCCCTAAATATTTAAAAATACGCTATGTATCTACACACGTAAAGTAATCTTACCGTGGTAGCTTTCGAACGATAAAATTAACTCAAGCGATTGAAATTCATATAACGATTTTTTATTCGAAAACAAAACGAGATAAATGACGGTTACATATTAACGTCGAGTGTTTAGTATATATGAATGTTGCCGTTGTTTTTTAAATGTATATATTTTTACGACATCACTATTTCCTAGTAATAATTTATAGGAAACATATTTTTATCATGTATTGATGCAATCATTATTTGAAATAGTATCCAGAAACACATAACCTACATACATTATATTTCATAATATTTATTTACATACATTTTAACAAAATAATAAAACATGAATGCATTTTTAACGATTTATTTTATTTTTCATCATTGAATGAGTTTATTTTATTAAATCAATATAAATACAATGGTTAATTAATATATTATTTAATGTATTGTTTCAAATGTGTGAATATGAAAAAAAAATAAATAATTTTTGTATATTTTATTCCTTTGATGATGTTACATGGAGAGTAATTATAGAAACAAAACTTTATGAGTCATTACTAATAACTAACAAATATCCTATCTTAAACAACAGTTATAAATATTTATTTGTTTCGTAATTAACAAATTTAGTACGCAAAGCATATTTTGTAAAATGTCTTGATTCAGAAAAGTTGGCACGTTAGTATTGGTACGTTGGTATCATAGAATACTAATTTCGTCTTTTAAATAAATACAGAAACCAGAATTGTTATTTTATCATAATTATGAAGGTAAAAATTCGTAACTCAAATTTTACTTGGTTTCTCAAAACAAATGTTTAAAGATTTTAATCACTACTATAATTGTTCTCATTTTGATTACAATGCTTCGAATAAATTTACGATTCTTTGTGCTTCAGTTATATTAATTTTAATCGCAATTCCAGTTGCATTTTAATATAATGTTTGTTAAATTTGATTTTAGGTAGAAAAAAAATAAACGCACGCACACGATTTCAAAAATCGAATTTAAACTACTGTATAATTGTATTTTATTTTTTTTCTTCTATTAAATTTGACGCACATTAACATAATCGACCGTAGTTCGAGAAGAATACAAATGCTTTACGTATATTTATACACTACCGTAACATTTTTTTTTCCATAGAAATTCGTGTCATATGAATGAAAAATATTAGAAAAATAATTGATTAATTACACTTTTATTCCGCACTGACCTCGCTCGTCCGTTAAACGTATAAGCCAACTACTGGCCGTGGTAATAACATGTTTGTCGTAAGGCGCGAGAATGAAGTGAAATTATTTTGACACTAGATTCGTGTTGGTTAGACGTTCGATAATAATTAATAATACCTTTTCGTGTTCCTTGCAGTCTGTTGTCACCCTGGACGTCGGTGCGACTTTTGGCGAATCGATTGTGCACGACCTCCCTAGAGATATGACCGTGTGCACGAAAACCACTTGCGAGCTACTCAGGATACAGCAGAACGATTTCAGAAAGATTTGGGACGTAAGTATGAACGCATTTCAACCAGTAGTTAATGAGCCGTGATAGTAGTATATGCTCCGTAACAGTGAAAATAGAAATAATCAGTGGTGGCCAAAATTCAGAGGGAACGCATTTAAATCTGAGTTTCCCCTTAAAAATCTATAGATACTTATAGATATTAAAATTTATAATTATATTTTATCTGAAGTGGTCGACCAACAATGATAAAACTTTTCGTCGTTCGGAAAAAAAAATTTCATTGTGAAAAATTGATAAAATGAGGATTAGATATCCCCAAGTACAGAAAAAAAATAAGAAAAAGTATACATTGCGATACTTTAAAGATGAATGAAATATAATATGAGAATGCCAAACCTCTTATGTACTGATTTTAATATTTTTAAAATACCTCCTATACGTATTCAAAAACAATTGAAATTCACAATTCACATATTATATAGATATAATTAAAAAAGGCATGATAAAAAAAAAAAAATTAGAATTCTCCAAAGTATTTTTAAAATTTTTATTTTTAATACTTTATTTTTATGATTATGAGAAATATTCTAATTATTTTAAAATGTCTTATGTAACAAGTGATAACAATTTGAAAACATAAAAACTTTCCATGAGTCATTTTAATGTTAAAAACTCTGCTTAGTGACATAATTGTTAATAATAAAACTTAAATATCTTTTTCTTATTGACCTGTATAATATACAGTGTATATGTTATACATTATAGTTATTTTATTATTATCATTATTCTTATTATACTAATTTGATAAATAATTTACTCTCAAAGATATTATTTAGTAATTATATGGAATAATGGTTAGTTTAAGGATAAATTATATGCTCCACGTTGAAGTTTCGCACGTAAAGGATTTTTCTCAATGAACAATGAATATTGGTGGGTACGATATTATTGGCGGACGATGGTAATCGGAAAGAATATACGATACCATAATTAAAAGTTAAGTTTCAGTTTTCCTGAAATATTATTCTATACTGCCGTTACTGGTAATAATATTTAAAACGATATCAAGCATAAATAATATTATTAAAATGTCGAAATTGTAATACGGCGCTTTGTATAGGCAATTGTGGTACATCTATGTACTGCAGGCCGTTTACGCATAACATGAGCAATACGTCATCGTGAGATTTTTCGTATTTGCTTTGCTTCTGCTTTATTTCAATATTTTAATAAATACGGCATCTAAATGTTATTTAAAACGTTATGACAAAAAAAAAAAAAATAGCTTTAAAACATATTTACGATAAATGAAGTGTTCGGTAGAATAACCGGGCACCTCCATTTACATTTTTCAAAATTGAGGTTTTTGTATATTCTGATGGAGAAAAAAATCGACAGTCATTTCCGTGTTATAACCAGGTGGATCCGATTATTATTTCGCCCGATATATTTGCAAAATGAGCTGACTGGTTTTATGTTTTCCGGTCAAAGGTAGGACAGCTCCGGAGTGACTTTGTTTTTGCAGAGAATAGTATGACTATAAAATATTATTATTATTAGCGATATCACAAACTACACATGTTTTGATACCACTCTGTCGTTCCCGTTTTATTTACTGTAAATTATATTTATAATAAACAAAATACAATTTTAATGTTATTATAATAATAGTGTTTTATGATATTATGCATATTTAAATAATAATTAATTTTTTTTTCTCTTTTAATAATATATAATTATATTTTTTTTCTGATTTATTAATATTTAAAATTACTAAACTACTTCTTAAATGTAATTTCAAACATTTTTTTTCTTTTTAATATCTATAGTAATAGTATAATTATATGAGTAATGTATGACATATAATGACTTATAATACGAAATATAAATACAATTTTTTGTTGATTCCAAAAATAACTGTACAATTCCATTCAAAAATACTGAAAAATATAACTTAGAATTTATTTTTAAGATTTTATTATGTAATACATTATAAGAATCCTCATCAACAACGGTTTCGAAGATACACAATAATCAATTCACCTTCGTATATTTTTAAATTCAAAATAATTTTCACCTGTAAAATTTGAAGAAAACGGAGCTACCTGTTTATTCCACCGAACCCTTCAAAAAGTATAGATGTGTAGATGGTTTAAATTGTAAAATATCGATTTCCAGTCGCATGATGCCCAAAGCGTTTTTCTAGTACGATAAAACTGCCCACACGTACGTTCTGTACCGTGTGTGTAAACGTGAAAAACGAATATAAAAATCCCAAGACGTTTTGATTAAACCGTAGGGCAGTAAATTTATGACGCATGCGGTAGCCGAGGTATAAACGCGTTTTTACGATGCCTTAGAATTCTCCGAGCACAATTTTAACGGCCGTTACAAGAATATAAAGCTTATTAAGAATCTCATACTCGTTTCGCGTGCAGCTCCGACATGCTGTATTAACCCAGTACTCGGCAACCCCATGGGTACCGTGTGTTATTTACATTTATAACAGTAATAATCGTAATAATAATAACAACGATGCTAATGAAAATAATAATAATGCAAATAATAATAACAATAGTAATAGTAGTAATAATGGTTTTCACTGTAACTGTTTGCCTAGAGGAAATTCCGTGACTACGACGATCGATGATGGTAAATCTCTTTACGGCCACGTTTCAGGACATAACCCGGAGGATGGATGCAATGCGCGTAAACGATTTTACCTTTGCACCCCGTAATAATATTAACAATAATGATAGTTTCTACCGACAGTACCAACAAATATAATAATAATTATAATAATATTAATAATAGTAGTTGTAATAATAATAATAATAGTAATAATAATGATAACAATCAAATACCGAGTGGATTAATTATAATTGAAACGGAATAGTTTTACATCGTGTTACCATAAAATTCCATGATATAATACTAATAAACTAACGAAGAACGATAAATCAATGCATGGACATTTGATTTCAGTGGTGTTGTAGTCGTAAAAGCTTAGTCAGACGAAAAACATTTTAAAAGGTCGCAGAATCTAAATATCAGCCCTCATGACTTACCCGGTGGTGAGGTATAGTGGTTTTAACCCAAAAAATATTGTTGTAGACTTTAATTTTTCCATATTTTTAATAAAGTTTTGATGCGGTTTGGTAGTAAAACTTCGGCACAACGTGAAACGGCTTCATCCTTAATTTTCAAAAGTTTGCGGGCCAAGGCCTGATCTCATTACAGGGTTAGACACCACCGTCTGTTGTCTATGACAACACGATACGATAAAATTATATATTAATCGTACGCGCGCATACTGAAGTTCATTTTCCGTTTTCTATATCTTAAATCGAATCAAAATGTTTTCGTGTATCTAAATGTATGATATTAACTTACAAATAACATCGATACTATATTATTTATGTAATACTGGCAATTTGTCCCAAAAAAATATTGAAAGAAATTTAATATTTTTACCATCACATATAACTTTCAATTATCAAACTATAATAAGCGATTAATGGTTTAATTTGGCCGTGACAATTTAAAACAAGAAATTATTTATTTTCTTTATGATTTTTGATTCATTATTTCAACGATTTAAGTCCACAAAAAAAATCTAAGTGTCCCATAAATGTAAAACAATTAAATGTAATGCAAAAAAATGGAGTCTTTACATACTTGAGGCTTTTGTGTTTCAAAAGAAAACCGTTAAAGAAGCTAACACATATTCTTTTCAAAATGGTTTGAAGAAAGTTTAACCGTATATTACTCGGATTTTTCAGAAAGTTTTTACTTATTTGTATTTTGTAGATTTTGCGAAGCCGCCGGATAATATTTGTAAATCTTTATAAATCGCTTAAAAAAGTATTCTGAAAAAAAAAATAAAAATAAAAACATTATTATAAAACCAAAATATTCTCTTCAACGCCTAAATGTATTTGTATAAAAATATATCAAATACATAAAAAAGAGAAATATATTAACAATCATCTGAATTTGCTACTATACATTTCAAGTTTTACTGTTTGTAACACAATAGACCTGCTCAAACACAGTTTACGTTAATTTTACAATATATTTTTTGTAATATAATATGTATTTTCGTTCTCTATCTCTCTCTCTCTCTCTGTCTGTCTCTCTTTCTCTCTCTTTTTTCTCATTTTATAATAATTTAATGATTTTAATGATCACAGACCTAATTTTGTTTTTATTAGGATTTTCTAACGTGAGACTATCTTAATTGATTGATTATAAACCAATTTTTAATTTTTGTTTGAATATATTTATCCAAATAACATAAATTAAATCTAAATTATATTACAGTTCAAATATTATACAAATTTAAACTAAAATTACATTTATTAAGTACCTTTGATTGAAAGTACATGTTGAACTAGATTATTATTTACTGTTATTTTTTTTTTCTTCGTGTTCAATAAAAATTCATCGGATCATTCGAGTTGACGTCCTGTAGATTGTTTTCTTAGATTACTATACCTGTGTATTTAGAAAGATTTTAGCTACCTATTCAAAGAAATTGATGGTTAATTATATGATGTAAAATTTGACTTGGAGATTTTTAAGTGCTGAATTTCACAGATTTATGAATAATTCGGTGCAAATTCAAACATTTTTTTTGGCAAATATTTATAAATGCGTTCTTACTTGAATACAATATGAAAATCGAAAAACGTTTTGTAACAACAGAATAAAAAGCTTTTGCTAATTACTAACATAAATTGAATCGGTTATTTGGAAAAGGGAACATGTCCAATATTTTGAAATTTTCAGATTTTTACGTAACTATGTTATTTGTTCATGAACTCATTATTTGGTGTGAAAACGAAATATATCCGCGTGTTTTTGTAGTAACAGCTGGCGGGTCAACTTTTCGTTTATTTCGAAAAGGGAACATCTACTGGATATGTTACCTTATCGAAATCATAACGTAGTGATAAAAATAAAGAACTTAAGAACATGCAGCTGATTAATAGCATTCTAACAACGTATCATTATTATCGTATTATAACGTATTTCACGTA